TATCCAATGCTCCTGAAGTTTTTAATTACTATTTTGTAGAATTTTTAACTTGCCAGATGTACTTTTTTTTTTTTTTGTCTTTTTCACTTACAAAGTGCCATTTGAGGAGTACAGACATTTATGCTGTGGTTGCAGAGGGCTGAGCAGCCGTGTACGGGGATAATTGTGGAAGAAGCAAGATCATTTGCTTTTGGGAGTGTGCACCGGACCTGGATGACCGATTGGAAGGGATGTGGAGGGTGCCGGGCAAGTGGAGGGTACTAAGAAAGTACAGAGGGCCGGGGCCGGGATGTAGCTCAGCAGCTCGGTGGCCTGCCTTTGCAAGCACAAGGACCCGCGTTCAATCCCCGGTCCCAAAAAAGAAAGAAAGTACAGAGGGCATGCTTACAGGCAGGTGATTCTGATTTGAGAAGTAGTTTGTGTTAGGCGAAAAACAAAATACGTGATTGGGTCAGACTGTAGAGACTCTTGAATACCTGGAAGGAATTTGCGTCTTGTTCTGTGGGCCTTCAAATTGGGTGCGCATTCTCATGAGGGTACAGCTTTGTGGGGTAAGTGCATAGGACAAACAGTGCATCTCAGTGCATCACTACTTTGAAGATTTTGGGGAAAACAACTTTTCAAATGAAGATAGACTTACGGAGTTTAAAACAATTCATATGCAATTTTAAGATAAGATCCAAAGATTTAAGATAAGGTCCTAGTAATATTCTAAGACAAATTTATGCTTAGAATAAGCCATTTTATCCTATAACTTCAGAACATAACATAGGAGGGTATGTTTTTATTATCTTCAGCTGTTAAACTTCTTCAGTAAGGAAGCTGAGAGACATAAGTCAAAGTAGTGTGCCATTATAAATTTGTTAAAGGAAGATTGAGGAGAGAGACACGTAAAATTAGAAGGCTAGGAATAGAGAGACTACGTAGATAATCTAGGACTCAGGTTAAAAACTACCCTTGAGAAGACAGTTCATCAGATGAAGAGACATTTTGAAAAAGAGATTGTACTGGATGTAGCTCATGATGCAAGAGAGTGGTTTAAAAAGTTAAGAGCTGGAGATGTCTTTCGAACATTCCAGGCTTCAGTAATTGCGGGCAGGATAGCAGTTTTCATGAATAGAAGGAAGTTCTGAGGGGAGAAAGGTCTGAAAAGGACAGCAGACACAGCAAGGACTGATGACTCTTATTTGATATGCTAAATTTGTGGACACCCAGGGTTTAACAGGGAGAATTGGTAGGCAGGCAGAGTGAGAAGGAGAGCTTGTAGGAGCATGTAGATTTGTGGACTTCATTTGTAGAAAATAGATGAGGGCAGATGGAATGGCTGAGGATCAGTGTAAGAAAGGTCATTAGAAGTTGCGTATTAGTCCACAGTGCCAAGTATAAGGAAGAAGTAGGGTTATAAAGACAGACCTGGGTAAGGGATGATCGCAGGAGTGAGTGTACTGGTACTATGCAAGCAACTGGGAGCTTTGGCTAGGATACTGTTAGGATATACGTGCCAGAGAGGTTGGAGGGAAAGCACAGGGGAGAAGGCCCTTGGGTGAGATGTGAGAGGCCGTCAGGAGTGGTGGAATTTGGATAGTTGAGACACAGCTGGAGCATAGGAGCACATTTTGAACCTTGCAGAGCAAATGTCTTTCTCTTTCTCTACTAGAAATTCTCTCTCAACCTGAGCTTTGTATGGAAAAAAAAAATCTAATTTAGTATCCTTGCAAGGAACAAAATGAAGCATAGTGTTTGAGAAATTTGAAAAATACAGAATGGAAGACAAATTCAGGAAGCAGTTGGTATGCTACATAATGAAGTGTTTTACATTCAAAAAAGCCCTTTTGGCATTTGGCTGTTGAAACAATGCATGTTTGCCAGTGTGAGCTGTATATAGCTCTGAAAATGGCATTTATTCTATTGTGTTTTTTCTAGAACATAATATTTATAGAGGATCCAGATAGGTTACACATATCCTTTACATATGAGATATTTAAAAGTATACATATAACATTGGATAACTAAAATATATATCATACTGAATATTGACTAAGATAAAATGCTGTAAGTTGGTATGATAGCTTTTGAAAACTGGGTTTAATTCAAAACTTTATTGCTGTTTTGATAGTTGTTTTAAAGTTATTTGAAACTAAGTACTCCAAAGTGATGTTATGCTCAAAACGTTTGTATCTGGGAAGCAGTTTGAAAACGGCACCCTCCTCACTGAACAGGCTGGTGTTAGTACCTGAGAAAAATGAATTTCATAGCCAGAAACTGAAGCCAGAGACCTGAGATGAATCAGAACTACTCACGTGCTCTGAGAGTTGGAAGGAACCAGCTCTTCCTAAAGAGGACAGTCCCAGAGGACTCTTGGAGGAGAGCAGCTTTGTAGCTTTGTTCGCTAAATACAGAGAGGCCTATGTGAAAGAGTATTGGCCTTTGGTACAGAAGGCCTTGAATGAACATCACATTAATGCAACCCTGGATCTGATTAAGGGCAGCATGACTGTTTGTACCACAAACAGGACTTGATCCATACATCATTAGGGCCAGAGATCTAATAAAACTATTAGCAAGAAGTGTCTCCTTTGAACAGGCAGTATGAATTCTTTGCCATGATGTTGCGTGTGACATCATTAAAATAGGTTCTTTAGTGGAAGATAAGATTCGTAAAATGAAGACAAAGACTTATTGGTCCCAAAGGATATAATTTGAAGGCATTGGAAATATTTTTTGTTTGTTTTTTGTTTTTGCAGTACCAGGGATTGTACTTAGGACTTTGCTCTTGCGAGGCAGGCACAGTGCCACTGAGCTAAATACCTGGCCTGGCATTGGAACACTTAACAAACTATTACATTATGGTTCAGTGAAATACAGTTTCAGCCATTGGACCTTTGAGTGGTTTAAAAGAGATTCAAAAAGTAGTTCTAGATACCATGAAGAATATTCTTCCAATTTATATCAAAATCTTAAATGATTAAATGAGTCGGTAAAATATTCTGAATTATAAAGTTGGGAAAGACTTTTGCCACAGTTCAAGCGCAAAAATGTGAATAAATGTAAAGAAACAAAGAAAGCCATTAAGAAAGGGTATATACACCATTCCCACCACCACAGCCAGCAAGTCAGGTTGACAAAGAATTGGCTAATGGTGAATACTTTTTGAAGGCAAATCAGAAGAAGCAACAGAAAATGGAAGTAATAAAGGCCAAACAAGCAGAATTTCTCAGTAAGGGACAAGAGGAAAGAAGTAAAGCATGAATTCCACCTAAAGAAAAGCCAGTTACAGGGCCAGGGATTTAGCTCAGTGGTTCGGTGGCCTGCCTTGCAAGCGCAAGGACCTGAGTTCAATCCCCGGTACCAAAAAAAAAAGAAAAGCCAGTTATAAAACCTAAGGAAGCTTCTACTGAAGCTAAAATTGATATGGCTACCATGAAGGAAAAGGTGGAGAAAGCAAAGAATAAGAAACTTGGAGCCCTTAAATCTGAAGAAGTTAAGTTTAAGCTGGAAGCAGATAAAAGGAAAAAGAAGAAAAAAGTAACGTTAAAAAACCAGACCATTAGCCAGGCGTGGTGGCACACACCTGTAATCCCAGCACTCGGGAGGTTGAGGCAGGAGGATTGCTGTAAGTTTGAGACCAGCCTGGGCTACATAGTGAGTTCCGGGTCAGTCTCAACTACACAGTGAGACCCTGTCTCAACAAAACGAAAAAAACACCCCAAAACACAACAAAGACAACAGCATACCTTGAACTGTAAATTTATAGATCTGCCTCCTTTTCTAAAGGATTTTGAGCAACAGGGCATTAGTTATCCTATAATATCTGTTCACTTTTTTCTGACTTTCATTTGTTCATAAAATAGTACTTTTTATAAATATAAATTATTTTTTAACAGTTTGTGTCTATAGTCTTTAGGGATCTAGTGCTTAAATTATTTAAATTAGAAATAACTTAGTCATATGTTTATTCTGATGTCAACAAAAAACTACAAGAATTGGAATTTCTACAATTTAGGGACTGAGTATTTATTGAATTTTAAACATGCATACATGCCCACCTGGCTAATCATTTGAAAATGTTTTGTGATTATTTAATATGTACACAAAAATATTAGATTCATAGCATGTCCAGAAGGAATAAATTATTATTAAATGTTAATGCTGCAAATGTCTTCATTCTTACTATAATATGATAAGGTTCATTTAAAATTACTGGTTTGCACAGTACTAAGTGTTAAAATATATAAAATGCATGTGGCATAGATGTTAACAAATCTGTTGAGAGACAGTGCTATCTGACACTAAAGTCATCATGACCTAGTTAGTAATCATTGTCTACATTGAGCCTGTTTTCATCGGCACTTTATCCTGTTTCATATGGCTTTGTAGTAAGCCATAACATTTGCTCCAAATTATTTTGTAGAAAATGACATTAGTTTTAGAATTTCTATTACAGATTTCTGCATGTACTCTGAATCATCTGAATTTTTGTTTTGAAATGAATATTGCATTTAACAACTGTAAAATTCTCCATCTTTTGTGTTAATTCAAATTAGAATTTTAAGAAAACTCGTTTTTTAAAAAAAATTGGAATTGGCCAGGGATTTAGCTCAGTAGTTCCAGTGCCTGCCTTGCAAGTGCAAGGGCCTGAGTTCGATCCCCAGTACCAGAAAAAAAAAAAATAATAATAATAATTTAAAAATTGGAGTTGTTAAATTAGCCCATATTTTGATGATGAAAATCTTTTTAAGTTTTTTCATTTCAAAAAGTTAAAGATTTACCTATTAGCTATAATTTAGATTGTGACCTTCTAAAATTTATTCCCATATCACAAAACCTATTTACAAATTATACCGTAAGAATTTTGATTGAGAAAGGTAGTGTTCGTTGAGTCGATGTGATGATGTTTAATCTTAATTTGATAGTGACTTTAAAATTAAAAATTATTTCTCAAACTTTCCATTAAGGATTAAATACCAGATTATTAAACCACAGTAATTTGGAATGAGTTTAATATTTAATTTATTGTCTTTGAATTCACCTCAGCTCATTCAAAGCTTTTTAAATTTTTTGGATGAATCAGCATTTTGGTTGATTTGATAGAGTATAACTTTCCATTTTGAGACCTCCAGCATATTCCTCTTCTTTTCTCTGTCTTAGATTTTGCTCTTGGTTTGTTATATTTGCCATTTAGGTTGTTTTCATCACATACATCATGCCACCACCATCCTCCTAAAGAAGATAGGTAATTTAATGAATACAAACTCATTTATAGTTACTGCTACTTATTTTTCTATGAGCATACTCAATTTCTTATGAATGTGACAGTTTTGTAGGTCTGTGTATCCCAGGCTTAAGAAATTTGTATGACTTTTCTGTATACTATAAAAAAGAGATCTAAAGAGGGTTAGAGCTAAAACACCTAGTTGTGCTACAATAAATAACATTTTATAAATACTTGTTAATAGATTTTTAATAGAAATGCTTAGTTGAGATTAGGATTTGAAGGAATTGGATTATAGAATTGTCTAAAACTGTGGAAGACATTTTGAAGATACGAAAATAGAGCATTGGCAGTGGAAGACATTACCTGAATAACTTTCTGAACAGAGGAGGTGTCGTTCTGCTTTGTGACCCCATGTGGAAAATTCCAAGTCTTGGTGTTCTGGGAACGCCTTTGGGCCATTGCCAGTCATCTCTGCCAGGTGTAGCCTGTAGTTGGTTTCATGATTTCCCAAGTGAAAAGAATATTCAACATAATACTTGTTGTCTTTCCAGTCTTCTAGTTCAATTCGTAAAATGTAATTAGATTGCTTTACTATGGAATATATCTTTTCTAGGCCCAGCCAAAATTCTCCTGAAAAGAAGTAATGTATATATTGTTAACTACCGATTGAGCCCTGAGAATTTTCACAGTGTTTTTAATTTGTGTAAGTAAATTAATTGCTTTAGTTTTGAATCCTGGGTTATTTTAATAGTCTTTTTAAGTATTTTTAAATAATTTTACTGATACTAGCTTATACACAAACAATGCTGAAATAGTAATAGATTTGTTTGAAGACTGCCTTTCTAAAATGGATATTACAAGATGCCTAGCATTTGACACATATTTGACTGTTACAGATCTTTTTAGATTTAGTCATTGGTAGTATGTCACTTCTGAATACTTACCTATGTGCCAACTTCACTATCACCTATGTATTGATAATCATATGCAGCAAGAGATTTGTGAAGTATTCCCAGATTTGGATAATAGTAATGTCATTTTTCTCAAATATAAACTTGGCCATTGGTATTTGCTTTATAAATCTGTTTTCCTTGTAGAAAAGGAAGGGCATAAATATTTTTGAAAATCTAAATTTAAATGCTTGATTCTTAATGACTTTATAATGTTAAAATTAACTTTTTTATTTGTAGTAGAAAACATAAGGACAAATAAGACATTCTTGGGCCAGAGATTTAGCTCAGTAGTGCTGTGCCTGCCTGGCAAGTTGAGTCCTGAATTCAATTCCTAGTATCAAAAAAAAAAAAAGGACATCCTTTGTAATAATTCTTATTAAAGTATTTAGTGAAAAAAAGTGTGTATTTCCTTATTATTGAATTAGACTCTCCATTTAAAGAGTGTAAGCGTAAGTACATGTGGCTTTTTTGTTAGAAATGAATAAACATTCTGGACTTAAGTGTCATTCTTCAGTTGTGGGGTTTCATGCCCTCTATGGAAGAGTTGGAGCTATAAAAAACATCACTGGATACAACTACTAGTTAAGGATTTAACTGGTACTTTGCATATAAAAACTTTTAAGTGGTCAAAACGTATTGAGTGTTTAAAAATTTAATATTATAATAGATGTTTTCCACTTTATAAGTGAGTGTGCATCATTCATAGATTTTTTTTTTTTTTTTTTTTTTTTTTCCCGGGGGTTTAATCTGGGCCTTT